CCATTCGGTACATGTTGCTGACTGCACCTTGACGTGGTGTGATGGCTTGCGTGCCTCCATGACCCTGCGGTCTATACAGGATGTCTTTTCACAGCCGAAGATCCAATCACGCCTGAAAGATCAAGGAGTAGAGGCCAGACGCAGATCAGTCTCACAAGGCCAGTCATTTGGGCACCTCCTGGCTTCTCCTGACTATCCACTCCAGCCCCTGGAGAGGTCACTTCAGTAAATAAACACGGTGAGGGGCAGTTTACCGGTCAAAAATCTCCGATAGATGGCCGTAGGAACGCGGGTAACTGGGGCCTCCTTTCGACATTGTGAGAAGTCTTTGCACTTCACTAGACAGCTGCCGCCCACCCAAGCTGGGCAGCCCCCATCCAACAAAATGCTATCCCGTCCACTTACCCCTTGTCTCATTGGGTGCATCAGGCTAAGGACCGATCCCGATCCCAATCGTCATCAAACTGTTAGCCAACCGAATAAGCAGGATTCCGAGCAGGCGGCGGTTGTGTCGACCAAACGCTTTCATTGTGTAAAGCCCTCGAGTTACGCCATCTACATCTCAACCAACGATAGCAGTGTTCCCTGAAGTACAGGGAGTCTCCGGCCCAGATGACCGTGATACCCTAATGGGTTAGCCTCCTGTCAAAGGGATGCCCCAGAAGGATGACTTACTGAGAGCACTGTACTCATCAACTTCTGGTTGAGTGATGGTCTACAATGAACTAAGCAGATCGTTCGTTACCATCAGCGGCGTTCGTCAAATGTGATTAGGAGGATGCTAACAACATCATCTGTTTGTTCGGATGTATGGAGGACCCGCAAAGAGCACTTGATGGACTGACAAGTGCTGTAACTCTATTCAGTACGCTTTCATCTTCAAGTGCACAGTGATACCGTAAGACTGGGTTTTAACTAAGCTTGGTTGGAAACTAGATGATCAGAAATTGACTGAAGTTGACCGCTTCTCGTACAAGAAAACACGTTAGCGTAGTAAAGGACATAAGTACACTCATTTCCAAGGCTCGAGCAGCGTATACAGGACTAAAACACATGTGGTGACGACGTGGTTTCACTGGAAGATCATGCATGTTATGACACCGTTCGTTCAGTTCTGTTTTATGGTTGTGAGACGTTGAATTTGAGATTAGAAGATATTCATATATTAAAGGATTTTGACTATCAATGATTACTTAGTTAGGCTCTTGTTGAATAGAGTGAACGGGTTAGTAATCTAGAGGCCAGGCATCGTGTGTTTGGGAGTTTAGGTGGGATAAATTTGCTGTCGCATCGGATTCAGATTGCTATGCTTCATGGGTTAGGACACGTACAGTGCATGCTGCGGTCTACCGCATAGCTACTTAGTTGCCGTAATCGCTCCAAAATGGAGGAAACCACATGGTTGTCAACAGATGGCACCGAAGCGAGGCATGAAGAAATTTACTGGGCTGTTCGGTAAAGTGGGTGCTTATCGTCTTTCATGTTGGGGTCCAAAAGACCGTGTGATTGGTTGGTTAGAAACACTGAAGATCACGACGGCGAACAGACAGCAGTGGTGTCTTAGCATTATTCGCCTATTTTAAGCGTTTCAGGAGTCAGTGTGAGTGACTTGATGCTAAGTCCGGTGAATTTTATGAAAGTTTATTCGTTAAGAATAACTATGTGGCGTATCATCAGTGCCATATTGGCAATGATAGCTCTGAATGAGAGTGGTTTGCTGTGATGTGTGACACTGACCTCGAAATTCATTGTACACTTTAAATGCATTGAATATGC